TACCCCACAAGCGCAAAATCTGTATATACTGTATTACATTGCTAGGGTGACAACCATGGCTTTCTCCATAGATGCAGAGCAGGAGTGCCATAGCCACCCATGAGCAGGAAGTGCATTATCTGCAGGATTACCAGGTTAAAATAAACTAGAGGAAGCTTGAAAAAAAATGAAAACGAATGCAGCCACCACATCAAGGACTAGTAAGCTGTAATACTGTACATTTCATTTTGGGTTTTGGGCTTTAAGTAATCAGCCATTTTATGTGAAGACGTACCAGTCCCAGACTTAGAGGACATTTATGTTTAACAGCTCATGCAGTCTTAGTGGGCTGAGCCTATAATCTGTTTGTCATTATGTTGTCATGCGTTGCCACGTGCTCCTTAGAAATACTATAAAGATTAACCTAAAGGAATAGTAAACTATACACAAAACTGCCATTTACAACCAAGCTATCAGTATGGGTTTATAACTGCCATTTACAACCACACTATCAGTATAGGTTTATAACTGAATAATGCTATATGTGTAATGGGTTAATACAATGGTCTCCAAACTATGGCCTTGGGGCCAGGTGTGGCCCTTTGCTCGCCTTTATCCGACCCTTGAGGTACTGTTCCATCCACTGACACAAACAATGGGGCATAATTCCTGTTGCTAACACCAACAATGGGGCATTATTGCTCCCACTGAAACCATAAAAAGGGCACAATTCCTCCCACTGATACCAACGATGGGGCACAATTCTTTCCATTGACACCAACGGTGGAGCACAATTTCTTCCATTGTCGCCAATGATGGGCCACAATTCCTTCCATTGACACCAACAATGGGGCACAATTCCTTCCATTAATACAAGGATGGGGCACAATTCCTTCCATTGACACAACAATAGGGCACAATTTCTTCCAATGACACCAACGATGGGGCACAATTCATTCCATTGACACCAACAATATGGCACAATCCTTCCATTGACACTAATGATGGGGCACAATTCCTTTTATTGATACCAACAATGGGCCACTATATCTCCCACTGACACCAACACTATTATTTCGACTGACAACAAAATGGCACAATTCCTTATGCTGACACCAACAATTGGGCAGAATTCCTTCCATTGACACCAGCGTTGGGGCACTATTCCTCCACTGACACCAAAGATAGGGCATTGTTTACACCCATTGAACTCCAGGTCATTTTCTGCTTCCACTGGCCCTAGTCCGGCCCCCCTAACGTCTAAAGGACAGTAAACTGGCCCTTTGTTTAGAAAGTTTGGAGACCGCTGGGTTAGAAGCTCAGGGGGAGACTCAGCATGATTAACCTGGAACATGAAGGTCATGCAGTCCCGGCATATCTATGGAATTTTTAAGATTTTTTTGGCCTCATGCACACTGGATGTTTTTAACGTGGCTGTTAGGGGGTATCTGGCATTTTTTTTTTCTGTCTTCAAATGCCCCTGCATGTTAGCCTATGTATCCATGCATACATAGGCATTTAGAGTATAGAGGTAGTGGCATCTACAGGCAGAAAAAACCTTCCACTACCAGCATGTCCAGGAACAGTGGCGTTTTGGCAGAAAAAAAACACTTGATGCATGTAAACGTGTGTTAACACAAGGTGCATTTTGCGCTTTAGTGATAAGTAATTTCAGTGGCCATAAATAAATTATTAATTTGACCAACGAAATTAATCAAATGGTAGTAAACCACAGGTTAAAAAAAATTAAAAATAAAATCCCCTGCAAGGTAACGTCATAATGTGTTAGTATGCAACACATACTACCACATTATGAAAGACTTACTTTAAAAGGAAGCCCTCCAGTGGCTTTCACCACTGCAGAGGCTTTAATCTGCACCCAGTCTTCCTTCCAGTTTCGCGAGCTCCAGCCATCTGTTTGGCCAAGCTGCAATTATATCACTCTTGCGCATGTGCGTGGAAGTTCCGGACCACAGCACAGTGCTCTGAAGGAAAAGCACGGGTACGCTGTTCCTTCAGCGCGCATGCGTCGGCTCTCAAAAAGAGCGAATATCTCCTAAACAGTGCACGTTTAGGAGATATTAATTTTACCTACAGTAAGCTTTATTGTCACCTTACCTGTAGTTAAAAGTTAAAATAAGAGTTTACTATCACTTTATCATTTAATGCGCCTAATGTATCACATGCATTTATAAGCTTCAAGTGTTTTTTCTACCAAAACACTGCTGTTAGGAATATCAACTTATGCCGGCCTCCTCCATACAAACATCCAGTTTCAAAGTACTTTGGGAATAATGCAAATCAGACACCTAGATGTGTCATGCTAAACTCGACTTTCTTTATTATTGATCAAGCTTTAAGTAATGAATGATAGCACTGCATATTTCTGGTGGTTTCCATGAAGCACCAATCTGAATACAGAATAGAGATTTCAGTAAACTACTATATGGTGTATCATAACAAAAATAACAGGATGAATGGCATAATGTCCAGTGTGCATGAGGCCTTAAAGCTGAATTCCAGGTATGATTTTTGTTGCAGTTACTGTACATTGGTCCAACTTGGAGGCACCACACAGTGACGTTCATTGAAGAAGACTCCACTACTACTGCGATCAATACTATCTTCTGGGTCCCATGCCGAGCAGCTGCAAACATGGCACTATTGACAGAACTCCTAGCATTTTTCTCAATTACAAAGCATTCTCTTATTGGATAGGGTGGAGATTCAGATGTCCCCACCTGCCTCTTCACCACGTTCAGTCAGAGACCGCCTTGCATTCACTGAGAAAATTGCACGGCATTCTGTGAATGGCAGCTACATTGAGTGAGCGGACTCCCTGTTACTATGCAGCAGGACCCAGAAGATAATGCCAATCGCTGTAATAGTGGTGACTACTACAGCCAGGGCTGCTGTTAGAAAGCACGGGGCCCCATACAGCCCACCTGACAGGGCCCCCCCTAAAAAAAACAAAACACAGTTTACTATGCTTGTAATGAATGAACACACGAGTGATCGGTACCGAAATGATTGCGTTCATTCAGGAAAGGAAGGGGCTGGTAAATGTGACATATTTACTGGACCTTTCCCCCACTCTCTATCCTGAAGGATCCTATTGCGTGACTGCAGTTGCCGGTGGAAAGGAGAACCCGGCAGCACTACAGTGGTGGGGGCACACAAGGGGCTTGGACAGCAGAGGGAAACATATGGTGTAAAGGGAGGGTGTGTCAGGAATGGACTGGCCAGCAATAGTGGGATTCACCTGCCTTATGAGCTGCAGTACCAGGGCTGGCCAGCGGGGTGCTCCCAGCAATCAGAGACTCAACCTTGCAGCCAGTCAAACACCTGGAACTAATTATACTGGTGTATTTAAGGGACATTCAGACCTGCAGACTCTGCCTTGGTGTTGTGTTTCTCCTGGGCCCTGTATCTTGTTCCTGCATCCTGCATCCTGCATCCTGCTCCTGCCCCTGTCCCTGTTCCTGTCTTGTTGCTGACCCGGCTTGATTCTGACCTCTGCTGACTTCTCCTGTTCTGATCCCTGGCTTGTGACCCCGACCATTCTCTGCCTGACCCCCTGTACCTACCTGCCTGTTAGTTGCTGTACCCTGCTCGTGACCTGACTATTCTCCGCTTGCTCCCCCTGTACCTACCTGCCCAATTGATATTGACCCGGCCTGCCTGACGACGCTTGCACTGTATGTACTGTTATCTGTGGGTGGTTTGGTTTGTTTGCACTGTGTTATGTTTTAGTATTGCACTGCGTTTATGTTTGTATTGTTAGTGTTAATAAATTGTTTATAACTTATCTGAAGTCTGCGTTTCCCTGCGTCAGTCACACACCTCTGGTCATACCCGGGAGCCTTGACATTACACCAAGGCCAATCCTGACCAGAAGTGGCTGCATAGGGAAGCCATCTTGGCTTGTTGATGGGAAGGATGGATCTGAATGAGGTTGCGTATTTATATCTGCTAGTGTTTGATGACAGGGAGTATGCTTATCAAACTCTGAAGGAGTATACCCGGGATGAACTGCTAGAATGTATACGGCTCGCTCATGTTCTAGTAGATCAGGGCACAGAATTCTCTGAGGTGCAGCCATTGATTGAGGTTTGTGCTGAGTTGGTTTCATCTGGTACCCCTGAATGCAGGGATGAATTTTTGCCACCATTTAGTGCAGACCAGGTAGAGTCCCTGGTATGGTTATTAGAGGATGATGTGGATTGCTTCTTGGAGCATTATGCTGCATGTTCACCACAGGTACTAAGAGATTGTATAAACGCAGTGCAGTCTTTGGTCAGACAGGCTTTGTGTAAGCTCAGCTTTGTTCAACCCATACTGCAGACATGGACAGATTTGTTACACCCAGCCTCAGTCAGCATACAAAGACCCAGTCCTGCTTCTAATCTATTTCCTCAAAGCTCTATTCCTGCATTCCCAACAGCTCCTCCAGTTACAGCCCAGTATACTTGGCTATCTACCGCATGTCAGTACCCTGTTCCCACTCGCTGCACCTATCCTGCCTTTAACCCTGTAAAGAAGCCCTCTGTAGCGACTGTTCCTTCCCCTGTTCCATCCTCCAGCTCTTCTCTGTCTCCAGCTGCTCCATTCATTTGCAGACCTGCGTTTACTTGCAGTGCCCCAGTAGTTAAAACCAGAAAAAAGCGAAAATTCTTTCCAACCAGTACCATCCTGCCAGTATCCAAACCGGTGAGCCTACCGTCTGAGAACCTGCCTTCCGTGGTTCAGCCTGATGCCTCTCTTGGCCTGATGCCTCTACTCAGCCTGAAGCCTCTACTCAGCCTGAAGCCTCTACTCAGCCTGAAGCCTCTCTCAGCCTGATGCCTCCACTCAGCCTGATGCCTCCACTCAGCCTGAAGCCTCCACTCAGCCTGAAGCCTCCACTCAGCCTGAAGCCTCTACTCAGCCGGATGCCTCTACTCAGCCGGATGCTTCTACTCCTTCTACCCAGCATAATGAACTGATCCAGCCTGATGATCCTATTAGGCCAGTTGACTCGATGCCCGCTGTTGATCCATATGATCCGGTACCTGATCCGGTGCCCGCTGTCGTGCCAATTGACTCAGAGCCCGCTGTCGTACCTGGTGACTCGGTGCCCACTGCCTTGCCAGATGACGCGGTGCCCGCTGGCGAGCCAAATGACCTGATGCCTGGTGACCCAGTGCCCGCTGTCATACCTGGTGACTCGATGCCCGCTGTTCCACCAGACGACTCGGTGCCCGCAGTCCTGCCAGACGACTCGGTGCCCGCAGTCTTGCCAGACGACTCGGTGCCCGCAGTCTTGCCAGACGACTCGGTGCCCGCAGTTCCGCCAGTTGACTCGGTGCCCGCAGTTCCGCCAGTTGACTCGGTGCCCGCAGTCTTGCCAGACGACTCGGTGCCCGCAGTCTTGCCAGTCGACTCGTTGCCTGCAGTCTTGCCAGACGACTCGGTGCCCGCAGTTCCGCCAGTTGACTCGATGCCCACTGTTCCGCCAGTTGACTCAGTGCCCGCAGTCTTGCCAGACGACTCGGTGCCCGTAGTCTTGCCAGACGACTCGGTGCCCGCTGTTCCGCCAGTTGACTCGATGCCCGCTGTTCTGCCAGACGACTCGGTGCCCGCAGTCTTGTCTTGCCAGGCGACTCGGTGCCCGCAGTCTTGCCAGGCGACTCGGTGCCCGCAGTCTTGCCAGGCGACTCGGTGCCCGCAGTTCCGCCAGTTGACTCGATGCCCGCTGTTCCGCCAGTTGACTCGGTGCCCGCAGTCTTGCCAGACGTCTCGGTGCCCACTGTCGTGCCTGGTGACTTGGTGCCCGCCGCTCCGCCTGGGGGCCCGAGACCTGTCGCTCCGCCTGGGGGTCCGGTGCCCGCCGCTCCGCCTGGGGGGCCTGAGACCTGTCGACCTGTCGCTCCGCCTGGGGGCCTGAGACCTGTCGCTCCGCCTGGGAGCCTGAGACCTGTTGCTCCGCCTGGGGGTCCGGCGCCCGCCGCTCCGCCTGGGGGTCCGCGCCCTGTCGCTCCGCCTGGGGGTCCGGCGCCCGCCGCTCCGCCTGGGAGCCTGAGACCTGTCGCTCCGCCTGGGGGCCTGAGACCTGTCGCTCCGCCTGGGAGCCCGAGACCTGTTGCTCCGCCTGGGGGTCCGGCGCCCGCCGCTCCGCCTGGGGGCCCGAGACCTGTCGCTCTGCCTGGGGGTCCGGCGCCCGCCGCTCCGCCTGGGGGCCCGAGACCTGTCGCTCCGCCTGGGGGTCCGGCGCCCGCGCTCCGCCTGGGGGCCTGGCGCCCGCCGCTCCACCTGGGGGCCCGATGCCTGTCGCCCCGCCTGGGGGCCCGATGCCTGTCGCCCCTCCTGGGGGCCCGATGCCCGTCGCCCCGCCGGGGGGCCCGATGCCCGTCGCCCCGCCTGGGGGCCCGGCGCCCGCCGCTCCGCTTGGGGGGCCCGATGCCTGTCGCCCCACCTGGGGGCCCGAGACCTGTCGCCCCGCCTGGGGCCCGAGACCTGTTGCCGATGCCTGGGGGCCCGGCGCCCGCCGCTCCGCCTGGGGGCCCGAGACCTGTCGCCCTGCCTGGGGGTCCGGCGCCCGCCGCTCCGCCTGGGGGCCCGAGACCTGTCGCTCCGCCTGGGGGCCCGGCGCCCGCGCTCCGCCTGGGGGCCTGCCCCCGCCCCCGCTCCACCTGGGGGGCCCGATGCCTGTCGCCCCGCCTGGGGGCCCGATGCCTGTCGCCCCTCCTGGGGGCCCGATGCCCGTCGCCCCCCCGCCGGGGGGCCCGATGCCCGTCGCCCCGCCTGGGGGCCCGGCGCCCGCCGCTCCGCCTGGGGGCCCGATGCCTGTCGCCCCACCTGGGGGCCCGATGCCTGTTGACCCGCCTGGGGGCCCGGTGCCTGCTGCTTCACCTGGTAATCTCCCGATGTGCCTCTGCCCGGAGTCCAGCCCGGAGTCCAGCCCGATGTGCCTCTGCCCGGAGTCCAGCCCGATGTGCCTCTGCCCGGAGTCCAGCCCGATGTGCCTCTGCCCGGAGTCCAGCCCGATGTGCCTCTGCCCGGTGTGCCGCTGCCCGGAGTGCCTCTGCCCGGAGTCCAGCCCGATGTGCCTCTGCCCGGAGTCCAGCCCGATGTGCCTCTGCCCGGAGTCCAGCCCGATGTGCCTCTGCCCGGAGTCCAGCCCGATGTGCCTCTGCCCGGAGTCCAGCCCGATGTGCCTCTGCCCGGTGTGCCTCTGCCCGGAGTCCTGCCCGGTGTGCCAGTCTTTGATATCCCGCCAGTTACCAGACCTGGGCGGTGGAACTTTTTGCCCAGCTAGGACTGTTTGGAGCGTCCTGAGGCCGCTCCTTGAGGGGGGGGTACTGTCAGGAATGGACTGGCCAGCAATAGTGGGATTCACCTGCCTTATGAGCTGCAGTACCAGGGCTGGCCAGCGGGTGCTCCCAGCAATCAGAGACTCAACCTTGCAGCCATTCAAACACCTGGAACTAATTATACTGGTGTATTTAAGGGACATTCAGACCTGCAGACTCTGCCTTGGTGTTGTGTTTTTCCTGGGCCCTGTATCTTGTTCCTGCATCCTGCTCCTGTCCCTGTTCCTGTCTTGTTGCTGACCCGGCTTGATTCTGACCTCTGCTGACTTCTCCTGTTCTGATCCCTGGCTTGTGACCCCGACCATTCTCTGCCTGACCCCCCCTGTACCTACCTGCCTGTTAGTTACTGAACCTGGCTTGTGACCCTGACCATTCTCCGCTTGCTCCCCCTGTACCTACCTGCCCAATTGATATTGACCCGGCCTGCCTGACGACGCTTGCACTGTATGTACTGTTATCTGTGGGTGGTTTGGTTCGTTTGCACTGTGTTATGTTTTAGTATTGCCCTGCGTTTATGTTTGTATTGTTAGTGTTAATAAATTGTTTATACCTTATCTGAAGTCTGCGTTTCCCTGCGTCAGTCACACACCTCTGGTCATACCCGGGAGCCCTAACAGGGTGATGGGTGCAGCGGGGAGGGAAATTACTTCAACTGATCCCCTGTATGGCTCTCCCTGCAGCAGATGAAAGCCAGCAGGAGGGAGAGGAGAAGCCAGCTTTCAGCTGCTGCAGAGAGCCATACAGGGGATCGGTTCCCATAACTTCCCCCCCGCCATGCTAAACACCCTCCCTGCCCACAAATCTGATTCACCCAGCTTCCTGGGCCTCCCTGCTGGTCTGGGCCCTGTAAAGGAGGACTGGTGGTACCCCCGTATCCACGGTCCTGACTACAGCGATTTTCAATTTCTCCAGAGATGCCTCAGGTATGGCATATACAGTACATACTTACAATGTTGCAAGGTGGAATTCAGCTTTATATTATCAATATAAAATTTAAAGTGTATGTCCAGCACAAACTTTTTTTCTTGTTTTTGACATTATGGGGAAAGGTTTGAACCCCTGTGAGGTATTTTACTGTTATCCAAGGCCCCATTAGGGAGATTTCCCATCACTTCCTGTCCTGATGATATTTTACCAAACAGGAGATGATGGTAAGTGTTTAACAGCAGCACAGACTAAAATATCTATACTTTTTTTTTTGTTTTCAGTTGTAGGGAAACGCTAGAACCCCAGTCGAGTTTTTATTTCTGTTTGTTTCCCTGATTTTCCCTCATTTCCTGTCTGGTGAAACCAATGTCAGCAGGACAGGAGGTGAGGGGAAATCTCTCTAACGGAGCCCCAGATTGCAATAGAAACTTAATCCTTCCAAAAACCAAAATAATGTGTTTGGCTTGACATATACTTAAAGTGCTACTAAACCCAGAACCCTGCATTCACTATATCCAGTCTCCCACAGTACACAGAACATGCATTTGTTTTAGTAAATATAAATTCCTAAATACCTTTTCTCATCAGCAGTTAGATCAGTCTTTTGACATCTATCAGTGTCCAGCAGAGTACTGGTTAAAGTTTCTAAGAGGAGTTTTCATTCTCCCCTGATTGTCCTATGAGGCTGCATAACCCCTGATCCTTTGTCTGGACATTGCTGATTGGCCCTGTGCTGATCACATGCACTCTCCCATAGAAAAGAAAAACTCTCAATCAATGCATACCAAACTGAGCATGTGCAGCTTGCCCCCAGGGCTATGTTCTCTGCTGATGGATTGGGGACAGAAGAAGGGGAGGATCAGAGAAGTCAGGATCAAACATCCTTTTTACACAATGCGAAGGATTAACCCCATTAGGTTCCACGGTGAGTATAACAAGCATGCTTTACTGCATATACAGACTGATTTTACTGATGTGGTTTAAGTAACAGCAATGAGTAAATGTTAGTGGTGAACCGGAATGAAAATTCTAGTGCCGAAACCGAAAATTCAAAATGCACTTGGCCAAAAACCGAAACCAAAATGCGCAATTTTTAAAAATGAATATATATTTTTTTTAAAAAAAATACACTTTGATTAAAAAAAAACAATATACCGTATTTCCGGCGTATAAGACGACTTTTCAACCCGTGAAAATCTTCTGAAAAGTCGGGGGTCGTCTTATACGCCGGTGCAAGCCAGTGTCAGGGCGGCACTTTTTCGAGGGGCGGCGCGGCGCGCCGCCCCCCCTCCTCCTCCAACGGACACTAAGTACAGGGGTGGGCAGGGGGGCTGCTGTACCTTACCTGGCTCCGGTCCCATGACGATCCGGTCCAGGAAGCGCAGCTGCTCCTTCTTTCAGTTCGGCCGCTCGATGGTCACGCGGTCGCTCGGCTTTCCGCCTCCTCACCGGTGATTGGGCGCCAGCACTGGAAAGGCACACAGGCAACCAATCACCGGCGAGAAGGCGGAGCCGAGCGGCCCCGTGAAAATCGAGAGGCCGAACTGGAAGAAGGAGCAGCCGCTCCTCTCCCCCCACTGACACTAACGATGGGGCACTATTCCTCCTTCACACTGACACCAACGATGAGGCACTGTTCTCCCCCACTGACACCAACGATGAGGCACTGTTCCTCCCCCACTGACACCAACGATGAGGCACTGTTCCTCCCCCACCACCAACTGAGGCACTGTTCTCCCCCCCTGACACCAACGATGAGGCACTGTTCCTCCCCCCCTGACACCAACGATGAGGCACTGTTCTCCCCCCCTGACACCAACGATGAGGCACTGTTCCTCCCCCACTGACACCAACGATGAGGCACTGTTCTCCCCCCCTGACACCAACGATGACTGTTCCTCCTCCCCCACTGACACCAACGATGAGGCACTGTTCCTCCCCCACTGACACCAACGATGAGGCACTGTTCCTCCCACTGACTAATGATGGGGCACTATTCCTATTCCACTATTCCAAATCAAATCTGATGTTTTTTCATTTTTATTTGGTGTTAGTTGGAAGAGAGGGGTAGTCTTATACGGCGAGTATAGCTCAAACCCTATATTTTAACAGGAAAAGTAGGGGGTCGTCTTATACGCCCAGTCGTCTTATACGCCGGAAAATACGGTATATCCCAATTTGTTTGTAAAATATGAAAGAGGATGTTTCGGCGAGTAAATAGATACCCAACATGTCACGCTTTAAATTGCACACGTTCGTGGAATGCCATGAAACTGTGGTACTTAAAAATCTCCATGAGTGATGCTTTAAAAATATCTACAGGTTAGTAGT